GAGCAGCACATGAGCTGGTCGTGCGTCGTGATTGGTTGTAGCGGCTGGCGCTATAGAGTGCCGAAGGTGTAGAAGGCAGGAGTGCGGTAAGCGAGCGCCCCGCTTCAGTCTTTGTTCTTACGTGCTAATAAACACACGTGAATAAAAGCCATAGTTATCCGTCTTACAACTTCTTCCGTTGATTATCCCGTCGTCCCTACGAGCCATCCTAACAACCTTTTACAATATATTGGAAATAATGAAAAATTGGTACCAAATATTATTTTAAACGACGCGAAATGTATATACGAGCAATCACAGCGTGGCGGCGCTTAGTCTTGACGAGAAAGAAATATTTTGGCTCAGTCTGATGCTGAAATTGTACGATTCCAAACATAAGATTGAAAAATAAATATTTCTCGTCGAGACAAAGCGCTGCCACGCTCAACGATTGTTTGTACATACGTAACGCGTCGCTCTGAATGATATTTGCCACTAATTGTGCATTATTTGCAAAAACTGAATTTTGCTAGATATCTTATTTGGACTAAATCTTCGCTGTTGTCGGTCCTATATGTGCGAAACTTACACAATAAGTGTATTTCAATGAGACGACGAGTAGTGATGCTTGATATATTGATTGCAATTAATATTTCGATGAGTCAAATTTCTAGGTGTACACCTGGAAACATGACTTTTAGAAATATTAATATATTTGGATATCTTATGAATTTCTACTCGTCGTCTCACTGAGATACATCAATTGTGTAAGTTTCGTACAGATGTGACGAATAATGACGAAGGTAGAGTGTAGATAAGAAATTTCGTAAAATTGAGATTTTGGAAATAATGAATAATTGGTACCAAATATTATTGCGGGCGACGTGAAATGTATAAACGAGCAATCACTGAGCGTGGCGGCGCTTAGTCTAGACGAGGAATAAATATATTTGCTCCATTGGATGCTGAATGGATGTTACTATTAGAAATATACCGTTTAAGAATAATAATTTCTTATAGAGATAGAGCGTTGCCACGCTCAATAATTGCTCGTATAAACATTTCGCGTCGTCCTCGATAAGAATTGGCACCAATACTTGATTATTTTCAAAAACTTAATTTTGCAACATTTCTTATTTCGGCTCTGTCTCTCTTATTATTCGTCCGATCTGTACGAAACTTACACAACTGATGTATTTAAGTGAGAAGACGAGTAGAAGAACACAATAAATCGAAATATATTAATCTTTCAACAAGTCATATTTCTAGGTACATACCTGCAAATATAACTAATTGAAATATTATTACTTTTTAATATATTATGCATTTCTACTCGTCGTCTCATTGAGATACATCAATTGTGTAAGTTTTGCAGAGATGAGACAAGTATTAACGAAGATAGAGTTGAAATAAGAAATATCTTAAAATTGAGTTTTTGGAATTAATAAGTTTGGTGCCAAATATTATTGCAGAAGACGCTTAACGTATGTACGAGCAATCACTGAGCGTGGCAGAGCTGTATTTAAAAAAGAAATAAATAATTGTAAACTTGATATTTGGACTCGTAACATTTCTGCATTTAATAGAGCAAAATAAAGAACGGGAAAGATTGAGGTGTGCGTGGGAATTCATCGTACCACGTCCCACACTATTTCCATGTGTCGGAGAGTTACATTTGTTAGAAATAATAAGGAAACATATGACTTAATAAAAAGAATCATTTTTATATTGGTTTCTCATACAAAGGCTCGAGTAGGAAGAAATGAGAAAAATATAATCATATATAAGTGATATAAAGTATATAAATATAATTATATAAGAGTAATTTGTATCATTTCTTCAAATTCAATCTTTTATATGAGAAACCAACGTAACAATTATTATGTTAATCACTTGATACGTTTCCTTCTTATATTATCAGCAATTTAGTATTGGACAAGAATATTGCAAAGGAAAGAAACATACATGAACATATGTAGCATAATATAAAATTGAATATAAATTTATTATGAACTCATTTTCCCGCGGAGAACCTTAATGCAGTCGTCGCATATTCATATAACCAGTGGCCTAGTTTACACCGAGCACTTGATACGCGTACTAAGTACCAAATCCGTATCAAATCGCTTGATATGGTCGGTATAAACGTTCGCGGATTATCTTAGTACGGTCTGGTCTGATACTCCTGGACTGCTAGAATCAGACCAAAATAGTACGCATATCAAAAGTTCCTAGCGCGCTGTAAACACTTAGTTCGTTTTCAATCGGATTAAATCCATTACTGTTGCAATAGCTATTTTAAAGTTGTTTGGTGAAAGACAAACTTGTGCGTTTTTCTAAATTATCTAAAATGTCTTGCAAAAAGGGTGCAAATTGGACGGAAGGAGAAACGCGAACATTTCTTGAATTAGTAACAGAAAAGAGCATTTTAAGTATAATGGATGGGAAGAAACATCGACACATAGAAATTTTTCGAATGCTAGTACCCGAAATGCAAACAAGAGGTTATGATAAAACGGCCGAGCAAATGAAGTTGAAATTAAAAAATTTAAGAACAGCATATATGAAATGCAAAAGAGATAATAATGTCAGTGGTGCTGCTCCCTCAACGTGCCCATTCTATAACGAGTTAGATGTATTATATGGAAGCAGGCCATGTGCCTTAGGTAGCAGCAGTAATCAAGTTGGAATTGACACTGCAGAAATAAATAATAAAGAAGGTAATATATAATATATATTTATTTACTGCAATTATACATATATGTAATGAAGATTAGTTATGAAAATAATTTATATGAATTATGATTTATGTGGCACTATATAATTAATTTGATTTTCATTAATGACGAGAGTGATGCAAATTTTACATTTATAGATATTGAAGAGGATGACGAAATATGTACATTAGATGTTGAAGAGGGTGACGAAATTCTAAATGAAGATGAAGAAAATAAAGCCCCACCAGCCAAAAAGAAAAAACAAACAAAAACTGGTATAAATAACAAATTTTGTTATCACAGGCTTATTACTTATTTCTATTTTAGTTGTAGTGTATATTTTAAAATTTATTTTACAAATAATCAATAATTATTATACATAGGAAATATAGATATTAATTTACATATGTAGAGATGTATAAAAATTTTATATTTAGGAAGAAGAAGCTATGAAATCATGTTGCAGAGTCATAATGATAAGTGGTTGGAAAATCAAAAAGATTTATTTAACAGTATCGCAAACAAACAAATAGAATTCCAAAAATAAATGTTTTATAACAAAATGATGGAGCAAAGGAAATGGGAACAAGAGGAATTAGCAAAGAAGCGAGAATTTCAAAGAGAGCAAATAAGCATGATTCTGGATGCATTTACTAAAAGTCTGCAAAGTACAGTCAGACCACAAATATCTGCTCGTTCCACACAAAGTACCTTGAAGCCATTAACACTTATTCCGGTGAGTCATTTACTAAAAATCTGCAGAGTACAATCAGACCATAAATATCTGTTCGTTCCACAAAGTACCTTGAAACCATTAACACTTATTCCGGTGAGTCCACACACACACACACACACACATACATACACAC